CGCGCCGAAGCGGCGCCGGAGAAACCGCCGGCATATCATCCCCGCCGTTGATCTTCTTCGAGTGGGGCCCATCCTTCCTCACCGCCTCTAGAGTTTCTCCATCGAGAAACGGAACCTACAACGTGATAAAGGCTCCTTTTTTATGGATGAGCCTCTCGCCTGAGGGGCAAACCGTGAACTTCCTCGACCCCGACGGCCGGAGCGAAATCTCCAGGGATTTCGCGATCTCCGAAGGCTTTGATTGCGCAGAGAGCGATCTGGTCCCTGTCAATGTGAGTTTCATGGGGAAAACGCATTTTGTTGTCGAGGAAGATTTGAGCTTTGCGTATAAGAACGGGGTTCGCAGAAGTTCGAGCTCGGCGAATCTGCGCGGAGACGAGGAGGATGTAATTGAAGCGGAAATGGGGTCTCCGGGGAGCTTACCGGACCGGTTCATGTCGGAGATTTATCAGTACTTTGCGAACCGGACGAGCCCCGTTGGGGACAGGACGTCAAGGAGGCAGAGGAGGAGAGAGAAGGAGAGGCAAGCGAGGAGGAAATGGGAGCCTCAACATTTCGTCAAGATTGTTAATTGCTCGCCTACTCCGTCTCGGCCATTGCAGGGCCTGTGGAAGGTTTGCTCTTCTTTATTCTCCTTATATTTTATGCTTATATTGGCCCTTTCAAGTGTTGTAACTTCATTGTGTTGGAATGCCTTTGTATTTAATTGAGAAATTTAGATGACATGAATCAAATTTTACTCTTTACTGTGAATATGTTGTCTTTATGTTTAGTTTGTGTTTCTTCTCTGTCATGTATATTATTGGCAATTGTTAGTGATGGACTTTGAATGTGTTCCCTTTTTAGTCTTGTGTAATTTGATTTAGTTGTTCCAAGTGTTGTCCTGGAGTGAATTGAGTCATGTCTTTGCAGACATTCTCTGCATAATTGATTGTTTTGGTCCCTTTTTTTAGTTGTTTCTTATATACTATCATTCTCGGAAGATTATGCCTACAAGAGTTCTTCCTTATTGGTCATCTGTCCCTACTTGTCTACTGCAGGGAATTTATGACGACATGAACCTGGGCATCTATCTCGTTGCATATGACGATATTGATGGCATTTCTTGCCGAAAGGTTTGGAACTCGCGGGAAAATTTTGCCAGTTATGGTCCAGTATTCTGGACATCAAACATTACATTTGTGGAGTCTCCATTTTCTTCTGAGGAAGAAAATCTATTC